AGAACGTCATTATGACGTCATTAAGACGTCAACCATGGTCAGTAAATGACCAAAATTTGACGTCAAAATGACGTATATTTGCTACCTGGGTAAGGATTTTATATATGTACTTACATAATGACTTTCGATGGCCCGCAAAGTGTTAATCTATGACTTTAAATATAAATCATCTTAAATACTTAAAGTACTTATATAAAAAAATTGATACTTTGTCAAGTTTTCTTAATTACATGTCCATTTTTAGAACATATATAGTTACATTTTTCTTCTATGTCCTTTAATTTTGATCTATATTTAATCTACATTTTGCAAACTCTTTATTATACATATATTTTTATTATAGATATATATACAGGGTGTTTCTTAAATAACACCCACTAAAATCATACAGTGCTATTCCTAATAAAAAATTAAGACGAAAAGTCCTCTACCATTTTGCAAAAAAATATTGCTAAAATTGCAAAATGGTAGAGGACTTTTCATCTTAGTTTTTTATTAGGAATAGCACTGTATGATTAATGGGCGTTATTTAAAAAACACCCTGTATATTTATATATAAATAATAATGTATAGAAAATACTGCATATGTAAATAATAATGTATTCTTTAAATTTTAATTATTTTGTTGTTAAATTAGTTCTTGTTTCTTTTTTAGGTAAGCGTCAATGTTATGTGGGAATTTAGAAACGAGAAGGACGAGAAGATTATATGTATAAAATTCCCAGTGAAGGTTGTATAAGAATGCAACTGGAATTCTTGTAGTGACCATGACAGTTTATTGCGCCCCAGTATTCAAGTGTACACGTTACCTACGTTAATTATTTTTAAATAATGGACCTCGCTGTATTTTCCACGCATGTCGCAAACTTCACCGATTAAAATTGTAGGAATAATAAATGATAAAAAAAATCTTGATGACATTTGTATTTCTGTTAATGTTCTATGATATGTTTTTAAAATACTCTGTTTTTTTATTTTAAAATACCTTATAAATAATGCTTGCATTCGACACCCGCGTCGTGCCGTCTCCGAGCGAGTCGAGTCGAGTGAAACATGAAGAACGCGTCGCCGAAACAAGCAACAACTCAGCTGTTTAACGGATTTGACAGATTGACAGATTTTGAGGTTGGGACGTCATCACGTCACATGTCAATACGTTCGGACGTGCCCTGAATTTCTTCGTCATACCCCAGACAGCACACAATATTTATAAAATATTTACAAAATATTTATAAATTTTATAATATTTATTTTAAATATTTTGTAAATATATATATATTTTTGCTTAGGTTGCATGGATCATAAATACTTATTATAAACAACGTCGCTTGACATCGTCGAGGACACATGTGTTCTCTCCAATATATTGTATCATGGCTTACCTTTTATTATATATGACTTAGTTAATTTTGCGTTTTTCTCTCGACGTCTGACTCACATCATTACGACAAATCAAGATTTTTGAAAAGTGAGATGAGATCACTTTTACATCGGTCAAGTGATGTTTTTACATATGGACCGCACATATCTAATAATAGGGAATACGGAAATAACAGACGTGTTTTACTGGATATTATAATTTGACCGAATATTCCGACATTTTATGTAATATTGTTTGTGTTTACATTGAAAGTGACTCGATCGGCGTTTGTATGATTATTAAATTTTTTATATTGTAACTGGCTCGTAGCCCTACTTTTATTTATT